CCCGAAATGTCAATAGTATGGAGTTTAAGAAATCCTGGCCTAAAGGGAGAGCTGTGTATTTTCTCTTTCCTCTCTAAGGGAATTCTTACCCCTGACCTCAAGTCATGGGAGGGGTCCTGAGGACCCTAGAGCTAACAGAAGACTCAAGGCAGCATGATGTGACAGCTCTTGGGGATCTGACCAGGGTCTGTTGGAGTCCAGAGAGTGCTGAGACTAGTTCCTGACTCTCATCTCAGGAAAGATAAAGGTGGCAGACTGATTCAGAGGTAAGAGGAACCCTGTGGAGAGAGAGTCATGCACTTCTGGAGTTTAGCACAAATAAGTACTGAGTTTTTTCAAAGTCAGCAGACAGGTGGAATAGAGGTCTTTCAAAGGGATTGACCAAAGAATATTGACTTCAGAGGGTGAAAAACAGGCTTCGGAGGGTAATTATTGATATAGAAGCCAGGGTAGAAATCGTGAAAATTCAGCTCAAATATCAGCGAACATACAATGTTCAAGATGCCCTCTTAGTGTAGTGAGCTGTCTCTGAAGGGTGCATAAAAGCTCCCTAAGAGGGAAAAAATAAACAACTAGCATCTGGGCATTTGTCACAGAGGTGACAACAAACCCACCAATCTTGTTAAGACCCTTTGACTGTTATTTCCTGCCTCCCTCAACACACAGTGCTGAACAATGAGAAGCAGCAGAGTGAGTGGGACAGAGTGGGACAGGGGCCGGAATGTGGAACGTGAAGACATCCATCGTTCCCTTCTCTTCTACAGGGTCCCTGCCTGGGGCAGGCCTGAGCATGGGGCAGGAGAGAAATGTTGTCTGGTGTGAGATTGAAGTTTTTATATATTAATGTGTAGAGGAATTACACACAGTAATGTTATTTAATAGGTAATAAATTAAAATATGATTCAAAAATCTAAAAAAAGGTAAAAAGGTACCTTATGAATGTCTTGCCTCCACCTGTTCCCAAGTCTACTTAAATTCCCCAGCTCATAAATTTATGTATATTTTCAGTAATTAAGTACAAATTTTTAATTTCATATTTTTCCCTCTGCCTTTCATGGAAGGTAACATTTTTCTTTTTTTTTTTCTTCTTTTTAATTGAAGTATAGTCAGCTTACAGTGTCAGTTTCTGGTGTGGACTATGTTTTTTGATCATGATTTTTTTTATTGAAGTACAGTCAGTTACAGTGTGTCAATTTCTCATGTACAGCACAATGTCCCAGGCATGCATATACATATATTCATTTTTATATTCTTTTTCATTAAAGGGTACTACAAGATATTGAATGTAGTTCCCTGTGCTATAAGAAGAAATTTTTTTAATCTATTTTCATATATAGTGGCTAACATTTGCATATCTCAAACACCCAAATTTATCCCTTCCCATCCCTTTCCCCCAGTAACCATAAGATTGTTTACTATGTCTGCAAGTCTGTTTCTTTTTTGTAGATGAGTTCATTAGTGTCCTCTTTTTTTTTTTGGTCAGATTCCACATATGAGTGGTATCATATGGTATTTTTCTTTCTCTTTCTGGCTTAGTTCACTTAGAATGATGATCTCTAGGTCCATCCATGTTGCTGCAAAGCATGACATTATTGTATTCTTTTTTATAGCTGAAGAGACTTCTTTCATTTTGATTTGTTTTCCCCTAAACAAAGAAACTTGGAGTTCTTCCTATATCACGTACTGAACTTTTAGATTTCAGACGATGGGAATTTTCACTAGTAACTGACAGAAAAGGGTGTGATGAGGACCATGATGCATAGGTGATTTTCTTGTCCCCAGAACAGAACTCCTCTGCTAAAGCATGGTGTGGAGTCATAAACTAAGACAAAAATAAGTATACTTTTAGAATGACTTTTGGTTAACTTTCACTGAATGTGTATAAATATATATGATCCTTCTATGAGAACAGACAAAGTGTAAATCAAAAAAAAATCAGATATTGTTCCTATAATTTCTTTGCCTTCAATTTTTTGTTCCTTATTATTCACAATTTGTTGAACTTAACATACTTAGATTTCTTCAATCTGCCCTGGACACTTAATTTTTTATATTTATATAGAAATTAAGAACTTTCACTTTTAATAATTATTTGGAGATTTACACTATTCATCTTGTAAAGATATAATACTAAACTATTCGGTTTGCCTAAGTATTTTGTCTTTCATTTGATAGAATATTATATGCTTTCTTTATTAATTTTTCTGTTGTATTTCCTTCTCCCAGAAAATTATGATTTCATGGATATTTTTTAACATAGTTCCCCATGATCCCTAATTTATTTAAACTTATGTTACATTTCAAAATATAGTTCCTTTTCACTTGAAACTTGCTCTTTTGTGGGAAAAAAAACTGCTTTATTGCTTTATGGTACAAATTTTTTTTCCTCTTGACAACAAAACATCCCAGCTCTTACAACACATTCCTCAATTTTACTCAAATGACACCAAACTTTTCACTCTTTTAATGCTATCATGGCATCATGTTTTTTAAATTGGATTAATAACAATACCCCACATTTGTACCATTCTGAGAGCTCTTAGCTTTGTTATCTCATTTTAGTCTCACCACAATCCAGTGCAGTTGGCAGGGTGTCATTACTTTCTATACTTTAGTTTACTAATGAGAGAACTACAGCTCTTGAAGTAAACTCATTTGTCAAAGGTCACAAACCTAGACTTTAACAAAGCTGGAACTAGAAACCAAGGTATGACTTCTTACTTAGGGCTCTTCTTTCTATAACTGGCTCCTCTCAGGCTATCGCTATCAAGCAAGATGATTTTTAATGCCCTCTGAAAGATTTAGATGACAATGTGTAAAATATCCTGACAGTTGAAATTGTAAATTCTGCAAAAACAATACCTACCACTTATTACTAATAACCTATTATTGTAGTCTGCTATGTGCCAAGAACTCTTCTAAGTATTTTAAGACACTATTGTGTTTCATAATCACAACCATCCTAATGAGATAGAAACTTTATTATCACCATTTTACGTAGGGGCAAAGAGAGTCACAGAAAAGTTACGTAGCTTAACCAACCCAGTGAGTACCTTAAAGTGTGGAGTTAGGGCCTTCGCAGCCCAACTCTAGACCCTGGCTGTTAGGCACAGTTCTCATCTGCATCCGTTTAGTCACATCTGACTAGAAGGCAATTTCAAAGACTCATTGGAAGTTTTGATGAAAGCTTACATGCTGTCAGAGTTGTCAGACCCAGAGGTATGTGCACTGAGGTACATCTTCTTCCAAGTCTGCCTTCAGTGATGTCACATTGATATCTTGCAACTGGAAGTATTTATACCATGGAAGTTGCCAAATGCTGCAAATTATGATTAGTGATTTTTCTGGAGAGCCAGTGGTTAAACATTTACTATCATTCCACTGGTCAGACCTAAGAATACTTTGTATGTATCTTCAAGGCTGTCACTTTATGATTAAAATAACAACTCAAGAAATTTTAGAGCAAAAATACTTGATCTGGTTCAATTTCCTATAGACTTGGTAAGACACAGAAGTAAATTGAGGATGTTTTTGTTAAGATGTATGTGTAATTATTAAAATTGCACTTGCCTTAGGAATGTTAGCAAAACAGAGATGATTTAGAAGGAGATGGGATGAAGAAGAATTTCTTTTCTTTCAAAGTTGAAATTTGAAAAATGCTGACTTCTGAGATTTTTTTAATGGAAAATTTTCTTTCTGGAAAAAAATGCTTCAGTAAGTATTCCAGAGAGGCATTTTAAAAAAATTTTTGGCTGAACTGCAAAAAAGGTCTATGCATAATAAAGCAGGATAAAACAGAAATTTTGAATTGTTTTCACACACACACCCCTTTTCCCACTAAGACTTAGTGGCTGCAGGGGTTCAGTTAACAAAACAAATCATAACGCAAAATCTCTCTTGAAATATGATTTGAGTAAGAAAAATAAAAACAGAGTTTCTGATAGAATTCGTATTGTAAACCTCTTTGAGGGATTAAAGCACAATTCCCTAATGAATATGATTTCTTGTAGGTTTCTTAACAAGACATTTTGAAATGCAAATGCCAGTATCTTATGAATGCTGCTTTCAGATGTGTCCCTAGAGGCTATTGCTTTTCAAAACTGCACAGTTATAATCCAAAAACATGTAGCTTAAAAAATCTGTTTGTCTTTATTTGGATTTGGACGCTGCCAGGAAAAGTAGCATCCTTGGCCTCATGTATTGCTGTTTACGAGGACAGGCAGCTGACTG